CAATATTTTAGATTATTTTCATTGAAGATTGTTTGGAAAAGTTTTTATAATAACATTATAGTATTTTTTTGAAATGCAAGATATATGATACATAAAATTTGTTGAAAAATTAAAAAGATTTTAAAAAACGTGTTTATAATACAACATAAAGAAAATTTTTAAATAATTTACAAACACACTAGTAAAATCTTTTGGAGCGGTTGCTTCCTTGCCGCTATTTCAGAGAACAATGGCTATTTTTATAAATTACAATCTTAAATTAGCTAACCTCTAATAGCTATTGATTGGATCAGGTTGGATTTTTCTCAATCGGCACTAACACAATAAATGTCGACATTTAATAAGAAATCAACGTTGATCTTCTCCTTTTATCAATCTAATCAGAGGTAAGAATTCCAACCATGTCTGGAACTTGAGCTCAATGTTCTTACATCGTTCTTGATAGCCCTGCTACATTATTCACAGCTGTAAAGTGCATAAACATCAAAGAAAGAGGGCAGAATTTTCATTAGCAGCCCTCTCAATATGGCTCAAGGCATTCTCTCTCTAAGTGAGAGCCTTCTTTCTCTAAATTGAGAGCTTCCTCTCCACTAGGTGGGAGCAACAGCCCGGCAAAAGTCAAAATTCACAGATTCAAACTCAAAACACAAACTTTTCCCAGACGAACAGTAGCACTTCCACAAACAACAACAGATCTTTACCAGAAAACCAAACAAATGTAAAGACAGGAACATTGGTAGGACCGAATTCGAAAAACAGAGGACCGACACACATTGAAGTCCGAGGAGTATTTAATAGGTCCGCATTAAAGATGTCTCAGATTGGCTGACCAGCTCCACTAAGGGAGACTAAAAGGCGTGAGGAAGAAAGGTGTTAAATCTAGTGGGCCTTCTCGGAAAGCAAGACAGTCAGGTATAACAGTTATGATTCACTCTACTATACCTTAAATTTTGCATTTTTGCATGGTTAGGGTTGTATTATGCCTATCTAGTGGTATTTACGTAGAAAAGAGTGTAGCTTGAGTCATTTTCTTTACTCATTTTTCAACTTCTTTTCACTGGTTGGGAATAGCTAGAGGAATCCGCTAGATTTCTTTGGATCTCATGGCTGAGGAACTAGAGGAAGTGTTAAAAAATTTCACCTTGTCCAGTTTAGAACAGAATGGGACGTGGATAGGGCTGGATGATGTTAATGCAGGAGTGTCTGAGTGTTCAAATAGCATTATTGGGAAGATAAGAGGAGAAACAATGGCTAATTTTACTGGGTTAAGAACTTTGTCACAACGCCTTAGGGGTACCCAAAAGAATTATCGGTAACAGAGTTGGGGCCAAATTTATTCCAGTTCTTTATCCCTGAACAAAATGATAGGTTAAGAATTCTGAACGGTGGTCCATGGGTGATAGATAGCCAAATTCTAGTACTCAATAGTTGGGAGAAAGGAATTGAAGAAAGCATGGAAGCTCTTAAGTTTGCCTCACTATGGGTACAAGTGTGGAATCTTCCAATTCATTGGATCTCAAAAGAAGTAGGGAGGAAAATTGGGATGGTATTCAAGGAGGTGCTGATTTCTAATTCTGGAGGAAAGGAAGGGAAGCACATTAAGCTAATGGTAAAAGCTGATATGACTCAACCTTTGTTAAGTGGTACAGCTGTGAAGATGAACGGAGCTTTGAAATGGGTAAACTTTAGATATGGGAGAGTCCCTGACTTTTGCTATAAGAGTGGGATTATTGGCCGTAGTGAAAAGAAGTGCACGAACGATATTACCATCAGCAAAAGGGCAAAAGGAAAATCAATACGGGCCATGGTTGAGAGCTCAAACTGGGAAAGGCTCTCCTCAAAAAGGCTTTGCTTCCAGCACTTATACCCCATATAGACAGGTATGGGGGTTCCAAAATGGTGAGTGAATCAAAGAAAAGACTAGGGAAACATATAGGGCAGGAGGCAAGTTCTCCCATAAGTGAACTAAGCAGGGATAAACCTCTGGGTACAACTGAAGAAACCTGAGGCAAGGCCAAAATCACTACAAGTGTGTGTATCCATGATGCTCAGCAAGATCATAGGGACGACTTTGATGTTCAGATAACTGAAAGGATAAGGGATGTAGTTGTGGAGAGGAATGAGTTAATTAAGATGACAGAACCAGTAGAGGGAGGGGAGGAGGAGGAAGTAAAAAATGAGGGGACCTCTTCAGAACTAAGGAGCATAGGGAATGGTGAGGATAGTAAAAAATAGGATGAGGTCTCGCCTATGAACATGCGATATGTAGGTGGATGAGGGAAAACAACAAATCCAAAGAAGTGAAATAAAAAGGGAAAGGAAAACAAGGGCCTTTGAACAACAGGTGTGCAAAAGGTAGGCCACTGAAAGAGATCCAGAATTCGAAAATGGGATTGGTGCCATACCAAAAGGAAGATTCTTATGCTGCATGAAATCATGTCTGAGTTGGACTCTACTGATCAGCCCAATAAGAGAAACAAAAAGGAGAGCACTGATAGGGGCAATGCTAGTGAATTAAGGAAGGAAGGGACCAGCCCAATCTGGTCTCTCAAACAGACATGAGAGTGCTGATGTGGAACTGCCAAGGTGCTGGGAGCCCCTTGACAGCTCCCCACTTGAAGGAGGAAAGCAAACTCCTCTCCCAAGTATTATCTTTCTTAGTGAAACGAAAAATAGGAAAAATTACATAAAAATTAAAAAAAATTTGAATATGGATAATATGTTTGTGGTAGAGGCATGAACAGGTTAGGGGCATGGCAATGATGTGGAGGAACGAAGTCAAGATAACAGAATTAGTAGGGACAACATTCACTAAGAGGCTAAGATTGAAGATGAGGAGGAAAAAGAGAGTTGATGGTTCATTAGTATATATGCTAGTAGTGATTACCAGATAAGGAGGAGACAATGGATGTCATAGGTAGAAGAAAAGCTATATGGGGAAAGAAATGGATAATAATGGGAGATTTTAATGACATAGCATCAAATAATGAGAAATGGGGGGGGGAGAATTAGAGATGATAGGAGTCTCCCGGATTTTAGGAACCTCATAAATGATAACCAATTTCTGGACATAGGATTTGAGGGGAAGCCATGGACATGGTGTAATAATTGGTAGGGGAAGGAGAAGTGAAAGAAAGAATTGATAGGGGATTATGTACCCTTGAATGGTCTAGTTGCAAGCACATTGAATCTATTGCCTCAGATCATAGCATGCTAATATTGGAAACGCAGAAAGAAAAAAGGAAAAGGAAAAAAAGATTTCAGTTTGATAAAAGGTGGCTTCAGCACAAGGAGGTAGAGAATGTAGTCAGGGATGCATGGAACATTCCAAGTGAAGGAACTAGATGGTACCAAGTGACTCAGAAGATCAAAAACTGCAGAATTGAGCTTCTAAAATGGAATAGCAGTAAGAAAGGGAATTCACTGGAAAAGATCAATGGATGCAAAAAAAAGATTGAGGACATCAAGGCACTAAATGTTGACAATAAGAAACAACAAATGCAGGAGGCTAAGAAACAATTGAAAGAAGCCTATGATGAAGAAGAAGCTTACTGGAATAAAAAATCTAGACTGAGATGCTGAATGAGGGGAACAAGAATACTCTTCCATGCAATGGTTAAAGGAACGAGGAAGAGGAATTGGCTACAGAATTTGAGAAAGTCTAATGGAAAATGGACTATGAATGAAGAAGAGGTGGGAAAGGAGGTTGCTTCTTACTATGATCATCTGTTTAAGACTTCAGAAATAGAAGATCTAGAAGAAACATTAGATGGGATTCCTATATCCATAACTGACCAAATGAACAAGGATTTGACTACAAAGTAAAAGAAGATGAAATCAAGGCTGCCTTCTTCTCTATGGGTCCTAATAAGGCTCCTGGGAGTGATGGTATGTCCACTTTGTTTTTCCAAAAATTCTGGAGCATAATTAAACAGGATCTAGTAAATACAATCCAAGGTTTTTTCCACCACAGTGTTTTGCTTAAAGCCATTTATCATACAGTTATTTCTTTGATTCCTAAAGTTGATTGTGCCATTGAAGTCAAGCAATATAGACCTATTAGCCTTTGCCAAGTGGTCTATAAAGCCATAGCCAAAATTCTGATTAACAGGTTAAAGCCTTTTCTTACTCACTGTATCAGTAAAAATCAATCTGCATTTGTTCCAGGTAGCCAAATACTAGATAATGTTATCCTGTCTCATGAGTTAATGCATTTTCTCAAAAATAGAAGGCATGCTAGAGTTGGATTCATGGCTGTGAAACTGGATATGTCCAAAGCGTATGATAGGGTGGAATGGAAATTTTTAAAGATCATAATAAAAAAATGGGATTTTGCTCCACTTGGATAGGCTGGATATTATCTTGCATTAGTTCAGTTACATACTCATTCAACATCAATGGTGAACATAAGGAGTACATTACCCCTACTAGAGGCATAAGGCAAGGCGATCCCCTCTCTCCCTATTTGTTCATATTGTGTTCATAGGGATTCTTGAATCTCCTATAGAAAGCAAAGGTGGGAAAGGAGTTGACAGGGTAAAAGTTAGTAGAGGAGCTCCAACAATTACACACTTGTTCTTTGCAGATGATTCCCTAGTGTTTCGCAGAGCTTGTACTCAGGAAGCTAAAAAATTTAGAAAGATCCTAAAGGTGTATGAAGAGGCAACTGGACAGCTCAGTAACATGGACAAATCAATAGTCTTCTTTAGCAGGAACACGAGCCAAACAGTGAGGGAAGAAATCTGTCAAGTCATGGGATCAATGCAGCAAGTTAGCTAGGGTAAATACTTAGGCCTGCCTATGATCATAACCAGAACAAAAGAGCAAGTGTTTGGATCTATCAGGAATTCTATAGACACAAAGCTGCAATAGTGGAAGAACAAATTACTGAGTCAGGCAGGAAAGGAAATAATGCTCAAATCAATGGCAATGGCTATGCCAATATATACCATGTCTTGTTTCAGACTGAACTCCAAATTATGTAGAGAGATTAGCTCCGAATGGCTAATTATTGGTGGGAGGAGGTAGAAGGAAAGGCAAAGGTGCATTGGATTGGATGGAAGAAGATGACAAAGGATAAAGAGGCTGTGGGATTGGGATTCAAAGACCTGCAAATGTTCAATAAAGCCTTGTTGGCAAAACAAGTTTGGAAGCTGATTACTCAACCAAACTTGCTTGTTAGTAAGGTTTTGAAGGAGAAATACTATCCCAAGCAGTCTCTTGTCAATTGTAAGGTCCCCAATAATGCCTCCTGGATCTGGAAAAATATTTCAACTGTAAGAATGGATGTGCTAGAAGGAATAAGGAGAAGGATTGGCAATGGCAGAGGAACAAGAATCTGGGAAGACAAGTGGATCCCAAACAGGTCAGATGGAAAACCAACAACTGATAAGCCACATGAATGCCAACTGAAACAGGTCTCAGAATTGATCACCAACAGCAGGTGGAATATAGTTCTCATCTTTAAGACATTCTGCCCTTAAGATGCTAAAAGTATTATGAGTATACCAATAAGTGTGACAGGAAGAGAAGATAGCTACTACTGGATACATGCTCAGAATGGGCAGTATACAGTACAATCTGGATACAAGAGATGGATGAAGGGAAGGGAACAGGAAGGTGGAAACGCAGGAGAACAGTCTAGTCCAAGCTACAAAGGTACATCCACTATTGTCTGGAAAGCACTATGGAATCAGAATATGAAGCAAAAACTGAACGTTTTCATCTGGAAATGTCTTCATGATGCTCTCCCAGTCAGAGAGCTAATATTCAGCAGAACAAACAAAGACAATCCCATGTGTGGAGGCTGTGGAGAAAGTGTGGAAACATTAGGACATATGTTGTTTCAATGCAAGAAAGCCAAGGAAATATGGGAGATGGCTCCAGTGCAGTGGGATGGCTTAGTGCACCTAACAGATAACTTCCAAAAGTGGTGGTCTGCTATGATAGAAGCCCAGATGATCAGGGGAAGCCATAAGCAAATCAACCTCACAGTCAACATTCTCTAGCAAAGGCAGAAACAATAGAGAATTCAATCAGAAGGATAAGGAACCCCACAGGATAATTGAAAAGGCTTCTACGGAGTAGATGGAATTTGAAGAGGCTAACAAAGGGAGGAAAGAGAAAGGACCATTCAAGAAACAGGTGTACAACAAGGGATTGAACAAAATCATGAAGCTAGGAGCATAAGAATACTGTTAAAGATCCATACCCAAATGGACAAAGATCAGTATACAGTGGGAATTGGAATTACGGCTACAGATCACTCAGGACTACTACATGCAGCTTGGGCACTTAGAGAAAGAATGACAGGAGATCCACTGCAAGATCAAGCAGAAGCTGTCAAACTAGCTCTAATGAATGCTGCCAATCAAGGCTGGTGAAACATAGAGGTGGAGCTAGATAGCAGTAAACTGAAGGAATACATTGTGGACTCAAGACATAGTAGCTGGTGGTTGGCAACTCTAAGAGAGGATATTCAGTCCATTAGTAGCCTGTTTCATCAGTGCTCCTTTTCAGTAACTAATACCGGAAAACTAGATAGTATTAAACTGAGCTTGCATGCTCTTAATAGCTGGTTTGATGAAGAATAGGTAAATTCCAATCTTAGATGCTAACGCATCAAGGTTCATCATGGGACAGTTGTCTCTTTTGTTTGGACCTTTGTCCAATTACAATAAAGATTTTGTGATGAAATACAATCTAACGTTTTGACCAAAAAAAAAAAAACGCCCTCTCAATATGGCTCGAGGTTTAAAAAATAGTGCATAAACAAGAATAATTTTGAAATAAATATAATGTTTTAGCTTTCCTCGAGCATCTACCCTACTGCCTGATAGATACCAAAGAAAATTGGTCGGAAGGGCATGCTAGGTGCATTAGTTTTTTTTTTTTGGGTGAAGAAAAGTTTAAGTGTTTTCATTTGAGGTCATCATCGTGGGATGGGACATTACTCGGGACAAGTATCTTTTTCTATTTTTTCATCCGGACAAGTATCTATTCTTACTAATTGAGTTTACACGAGCTGGTTGCTAAGAACATTAATTAATGAAAGAGAATGTAAACTTAAGTTGCTGTCCCAAAAAAATAAACTAAAAGAAGGCATGGGTTGCAGTGATAATCATTTGATGGAAAATGCTCTCGGAGTTTCAATATTATGATCAAGCATATTACAATTTTAAATTTGTTGATTTTTTTTATCTATGTATCCGTGTGATGTATTTGCTGTCATTAGTGCAAATACCAGAATGAAATTATCCCTTTTATAAAAAAATAAAAAATAAAAAAGGAAGGCATGGGTATTAGTTTGTGAGGCAATGTGATAATTTGATTGTGTACATTTTTGAATACATATTTTATAAAATCAATACATATGTCCTTTACGATGAATAGTTTAAACATAACCTCTCATTATTATTTAATCAAAGGTTGCCCATTTCCCTACTGTTCCGAACAACTTAAAAAATAGAATGAAGGAAGAAGCACGGCTCTTCGGATTTTAAAATTGGCTTAAGTTATTGCCCCAAAAAATAAAATAAAAGAAGTCATGTTTATTAATTTGTGGTCAGTATGTAAATAGTTTTATGTAACGAATTTTTTGTCTCGCTTCTTGTGCCACTTTCTGTTCCATTTTTTATTGTATTACTATTTTTTTCATAAATATCATATTTTAGTTCATTATTATTTTATATGGATCCAATAACTATTAATTGAGTAATAACCAAAAATAACAGTTTCAAAAAATCAATATATAATAAAAAATTTTAAAAAATACATCAGAAAATTCATAAAAAAAACTCATTTTTTTTATGCATTTTGATCTTTTGAGTTTGTTAAATTTTGTATATTACTCGATTAATAGTTATTGGATCTTAAGGAAACAAAAACACTACAAGAAATTTGACCTTTTGTGACAATAGGAAGTCATCACTAAAAATTAGAAAGTCGTCATTATATGAATATAGTGACGACTTTTTCCATTGTCACATTGTTGTCATTAATTCTATGTCACAAATGGGTACGTGTGACAACCTCTATAAAGTCGTCACTAAATATTATTATTTAATGACGAAGACTAAGTCGTCACTAAAAAATAGTATTCTGTGACGAAGTTTCTTGTCACTGTTTCCAAAATTTTTTTGTCATAAAAAATAGCAGAAGTCGTCACAAATTTGAACGTGCACAGTGACGACTTGAACTTGTCACTCTCACTCCTAGTATTCTGTGACAAGAATAGTCGTCACTTAGTGAACTTACAACTTTGTGTACAAGAGCTGCAATTCTATTGCATTTTCAACAACCATAGCAGAAAATTGTGGCTTGACTAATGCAAAAAACGATAGTAATTAATGTACAATGAACCCTCAAATATATCTTTATATATTATAAGAAGACGTTTTGGGTCCTGTTCATTGGGCATTTTTGTCCTTAAAATTTCATCTGCTCACTTCAGGGGCATTTTTGTCCTTCTAGCTTTTTGTTCTTCTAGCCTTTTGGCTGTTCTTTTTCGTGGAGCTAAATATAGAAGAAGACATTTGGAGGGATACTGTTCATTGCATACTATTGCTGGGATTTCGTGTGCATCTCCATGCTTGAGGATGTTGTACGTTCGAGTGCAATTTGTGATGGTTGTGCTTTGTACTTTGCACTCTTGGTTTATTGCTTTTGGACTGTGGAGCCCATGATAACATTCCACCGCAACATTCTGTTTCTCATTGTGGTTTAGGCTCCTTCACATATTATATACGTTGGAGATTTCTGCTTTCTTGCTTGTGGGCCGTGGACCCCACATTGATTGTATGCATAGTTGTGTGGAGTGGGAAGAAAAAAATATATCTCCTCTTGAAATTAACTTGAGTTAAATTAAATGATAATGGATGTTCCCAAATTATTCAATTAAAAATATTAACTTTTTTAAAGAATTAAACTCCAATTAAACTGTTGAATGAAGATTAAATTAAACTTTTGGAAAAAATTAAAAATAAACTTCAATTAAATTATTGAATTATATGATGATAGACCTAACAATCATCAAAAAAAAAATGAAGAATTATTGTAGACATAATAATCGCAACTCATAGATTTAGAAATATTAGATTTCTGAATTAAAATTAAAATTCAACTCGAATAAAAAATGGAGTTAAATCAAGAATGGAGAATTAAAACTCCAATTAAACTCCAATTTTGAATTAAAAGATTGAGAATTAAACTCCAATTAAACTTCTGAATCTGAATTAAAATTAAAATTACACTTTTGGGAAAGATAAAAAATAAATTCAACTAAATTATTGAATTAAATGATGTTTTCATCATTTAAGGTCATAGACCAAACAATCATGAAAAAAAATGAAGAATTATGGTAAACATAATAATTTGGAAGTCATTAGAAATGTCCTTACATATACATAAGAAGCACTTTGTTCATTGGGTTTTGGGTTCCTGTTCATTGGGCATTTTTGTCCTTAAAATTTTATCTGCTCACTTCAGGGCCATTTTTGTCCTTAAAGTCTTTTGGTTGTGGTTGTTCTTTTGGTTAGTATTCATTGCAATTCGTTTGTTCTGTTCAAGAGCTATTGGAACTGCTTGTTGCAAGGCTTAGCCGAATGTCAGTGGAACATCCGCTGTTTTGCAGCATTTACAAGAAGCATCAATGAGATGTGACGTTGATTTCTATCAGCCATCTAATTTTCTCTTGTTTAATTACATTTTCGTCCCTCAAAATATTCATTGAATGGACTATATATTTTCAACTCATGTCTAATAGTGTCATTTTACAATAGCTTTTTACGTTTTCCCTCTGAATTCTGTCGGCCATTACTAATTCAAGCCAATTATGCCTTTATTCTGTCGACCTTATCACTTATCAGACGATATACTACGCATTATCAAACCAATACCTACCAAACCCACTCTCTCACCCGATGCCCCGTCCACTCCCCACCCTCAACACCGCCCTCACCCGTGGCTAACAGCTCCGACTGCTGTAGCAATGGCTTTTGTTAAAGCCCAGAAAACAAAAGCTTACTTCAAGCACTACCAAGTCTCGTTTAAGAGAAGGAGAGAGGGAAAGACGGACTACCGAGCTAGGGTGCGTCTAATCAATCAAGACAAGAACAAGTACAATACTCCGAAATATCGCTTTGTTGTGAGCAATACACTGAAGACCCATCACAGCTAATTGCTGCTCAGAAGGTTCCTGTGGCCGCAGCTAAGAAAACCCCAGCTCCTGCAGCTGCTCAGCAGCAGCAATCCAAGCCGACGGCTAATCTTCCTTCGAAGCCGCTCCCCCAGCTCAAGCTGGTTAGCTTTCCTTTTTCCTCTCTCCATCCTTCTTTTATTTCTTCCCTTTTGAGTATCTTATTTGTTTTGCACACTTTTTTATCGAAGCGTTAATGGGCGTTAGGGGTTTTTGTACTTCAATGCTATTTAGTGAGAAAGCAGCAAGTAAAAATGGTAACAGTTCTCTTTAGAATTTGAAATGGAT